TTTTATATAGAACAGGGAAATACTCAATACTCTATAATGACCTGTATGGGAAAATAATCTAAATAAAAGGGGATATATGTATATGCATAACTGATTCACTTTCAGAGAAGACTCAGCAAGAGAAGCCCCAAAGAAAGGCAATGGCAAAGAATGCTCAAACTACTGCACAATTGCTCTCATCTCACACACTAGCAAAGTAATGCTCAAAATTCTCCAAGCCAGGCTTCAGCAATACATGAACCATGAAATTCCAGATGTTCAAGCTGGACTTAGAAAAGGCAGAGGAGCCAGAGATTAAATTGCCAATATCCGTTGGATCATCTAAAAATCAAGAGAGTTCCAGAAAAACATCTATTTCTGCTTTAGTGACTATGCCAAAAACTTTGACTGTGTGGATCAGAATAAACTGTGGAAAATTCTGAAAGAGATGGGAATACCAGACCACCTGACCTGCCTCCTGAGAAATCTGTATGCAGGTCAAGAAGCAACAGTTAGAACTGGACATGAACAACAGACTGGTTCCAAATTGGGAAAGGAGTATGTCAAGGCTGTATATTGTAACCCTTCTTATTTAACTTATATGCAGAGTGCATCATGAGAAATGCTAGGCTGGATGAAGCACAAGCTGGAATCAAGATTGCCAGAAGAAATATCAATAACCTCAGATATGCAGATGACACCACACTTATGGCACAAAGCAAAGAAGAACTAAAGAGCCTCTTATGAAAGTGAAAGAGGAGAGTGAAAAAGTTGTCTTAAAACTCAACATTCAGAAAACTGAGATCATGGCATCCGGTTTCATCACTTCAAGGCAAACAGATGGGGAAACAGTGGAAACAGTGATAGACTTTATTTTTTTGGAGGGTCTCCAAAATCACTGCAGTTGGTGACTGTAGCCTTGAAATTAAAAGACACTTCCTCCTTGGAAGAAAAGTTATGACCAACCTACACAGCATATTAAAAAGCAGAGACATTACTTTGCCAACAAAGATCCATCTAGTCAAAGCTATGGTTTTCCTAGTAGTCATGTGTGGATGTGAGAGTTGGACTATAAGGAAAGTTGAGTGCCAAAGAATCGATTCCTTTGAACTGTGGTGTTGGAGAAGACTCTTGAGAGTCCCTTGGACTGCCAGGAGATCCAACCAGTCCATCCTAAAGGATATCAGTCCTGAATATTCTTTGGAAGGACTGATCCTGAAGCTGAAATGCCAATACTTTGGCCTCCTGATGTGAAGAACTGACTCATTTGAAGAGACCCTGATGCTGGGAAAGATTGAGGGCAGGAGGAGAAGGAGACGACAGAGGATGAGATGGCTGGATGGCATCACCAACTCAATGGACATGATTTTGAGTAAACTCCAGGAGTTGGTGATGGAGGGGGGCTTGGCATGCTACAGTCCATGCAGTTGCAGAGTCGGACATGACTGAGTGACTGAACTGAACTGAACTGATTCACTTTACTCTACAGCAGAAACTAACAACATTGGAAATCAACTATATCCAATAAAAAGAAAGAGAAAAGTGCTGGCAAGTGGTCTGCAGAGAGCTGTCACCCAGCATCATTTGCTAACTGGCTGCTGAATAAGGAGATGAAGGGACACAATGAGTGACTACCACTGGGAGCCGTTCTAGACTATGAGAATCTCACAAGAACCTGGGGCTGTTTAAATATGATAGGGGTGCTGCTTATATGAGTCTTCGCAGGTGGCTCAGTGGTGAAGAATCCGCCTGCCAATGCAGGACACTCAGGTTTGATCCCTGGGTCAGGAAAATCTCCTGGAGAAGGAAATGGCAACCCACTGCAGTATTCTTGTGTGGAAAATCCCATGGACAGAGGAGCCTTGAGGGCTACAGTCCATGGGGTCGCAAGAGTTGGACTCAACTTGACAGGAGCATGTACTTTCCTTACACAGACAAACCCTGATTATTAACATCTTTGAAACTTGAGATGGGAGAGTATGTTCTTAGCGCAATTTGGGAAAACATCAGAAGGCACAGAAAAATTTTGTTTTGCACGCATACATCATTGCTGGTTATGGAATCTCTGTCTTGCTTTTTTCTGTATTTTTCTGCATAGAAGAGAAATTAGAAAGAGAAGAAGAGAAGGATGAGGAGAGGAAAAAGAAGGAAAAAGTCACAACAGAATTATGAAAAAGCAGAAGAGGAGAAGGGACTGGGAGCAAAAGTCAACGAGGAAAGAAAAAAATAAAATAAAATTGAAGTATAAACTTCCGGATATTACAGATGGTAAATAAACATAAGCTGGCAATCTGAGTACAACTTTGAGAAATCAGGACTCCTCTTGAACATTACAATCTGTACTCAGAGGAAGAGAAGTAAAAAATTTCCAACTAATTAAGAGTGCTAATAAAAACATAGAGATACAAAAATTCACAGAACATGCATTTACTTGGCATGAAAATATTTCTCTGACTCTGTATTCACATACTGTATGTTTATATGTATAGTTTTTATAGAGGAACTATACTATTTAAATTACACACACACACTCTAAAATGAACTTTATTCCAAGATGATAACTACGTTTGGCCTTTATTCATAAGTTTCTGCAGTGCTAGGGGAAGGCTGGGCTGGGTCAGTGTTAGCTGAGAGGACCCAGCTCTACCAAACAACATTTCTTTCCGTCTAACCAAGCTTGTCTTTGTTATCCTGGTTGGAAAAAGTTCAAAAGAGGACCAAAGGGTTCAAGGGCTCCAGACACCCAGATCTGGCAGGAACACACCATCACTTCTGGAGTTATTGATAACAGCAAATCCTGAAATGACCCTGATTCAAGGGGTGGAGAAATAGATCCCAATTCTTTTGGTAAACTGCTGAGTATCATTGCAAAGTATGGATACAGAGAGACTATTGATTAAATCTGTGAATTTGATCAATCCAATTGCTAGGTAAAGATACATGGATGTGCCTTATACATGAGTGTGTTTCTGAACTGAAGACTGTCATGTGGTCTATTGTGTAGACAGATTAGAACTCAGGTAACTCAGGTTGCTTTCCTGCCAGAGGTTGGTCTGTTTATTTAAGAGATTATGACAAGGCAACAAATCAGTGTGAAAAGATAGCAATAGTTACATACAATCCATAGTTATGGGAATCCATCACAAACTTATATTTTTATATGTTGTCCTTGGTATTGCGTTTGGTTCCAATCATTATGGAAAATACGTATATATTTTAGAAAAGCAAAAAAAAAAAAAAAAAAAAAAACCCCACACACACACACAAAAAGACTTTTTGTTTACTTGTCTTTTCTTTTAAACTGCCTGCTATGAAAACCTGACTGAGTTTATGTTTGGAATGATCTTACTTAAAATAAAAGAGATCTGAACTTTCCATGGAAGAACTGGGGAGAGAACTGCAAAGACATTCCATGCTCATCACCCAGAGAAGCATGGCTAGAAATGTGCTTTCACCTCACTCAAATGGCATTTTGGGGGTGATTTGACATTTTTTTTTTTTGGTGTGTCCTAGCATTTACAGAACTCGATTTTGGGGGACTGGGAGTAGACTTTGACAAGACAGATGGTTATCCTCGTGAATGGTTGAAAATTTACCATCACAAGAGGTGTGTGATGTGATAATACATATTAAGATGTGGAAAAAGCAAGCAAACAAATATAAGCCCACAGAGAGTCTCAAAGACTTGAAATCAGGCTTCATCTCACATTTATACAGTGGGTCCTGGAGAGAAAAAGAGCAAAGCAGCATTTATTAAATCACATCCATGAGGTTCACGGTCAGTAATCTCCCCAGTGAGGCAGGGCGGTCAGGTGACTTCCTCTCTTATATTCTCTGTCTCTCTCTCTCTCTCTCTCTCTCTGTCTCTCTCTCTCTCTCTCTCTCTCACACACACACACACACACACACGGCATATACTATGAACCATAAAACAAGCAACTACTTTAAACCAGTATTTATATTTCTTTGGCTCTACCATCCACAAAATCATGCAAATAATAGGGAAGGTATATTTACGAAACTCTTCATATAAATAATATAAAAATCTGAAAATGTAGTCTATGTCCTAAAATAAAGATATGACCAATTATGTTACTTCCACATAATATGTAGCCTTTAAAAGTGAGGATAAAGATCTTATAACAACATGATAAAAATCTTACATATTTTATTACATATTAAAATCTTACAAACTGAGTATTAGTAACAATTGGAAGTAAGCTGTGATACTTTAATAGGGGTTGAAATGATACATTGAAACATGTTTAGGAGAAAATATATTAAAATTGTGATGTAATTGGTAAGGATGTGCCAGGCTGTTTTCTTCATTCTTTCCCAGTTTTTCCATAGTCATTATACTTGTTGTTATAATAGTAGATGCATTTATAAATAAAAATAATTGCATAACTATTCTTTATACACAAGCAAAAATAATGAAAGCATAACAAATGCAGATCAAAGGGAATTAGGGGAAGGTTGAAAATAAACTCTCTGCCTATGTCCTTACTTTTGTTTTTTCAGACAATGAATAATTTTGGTAATTTTAAACATGAATATCCATCTAGCTAATTAGTCGAAGATTTTAATTATGGAAGCATATGAGGTGAAATCTCTCTAAAAATAAATCCTTATTAAACCTTGAAAATATACTTTTGATAGCTTCAAAATAAATGAGCATATTTTTTAAAAAGCTATTGTTATTAAAAAAATGTAACCACAGTGTTAAAGCTCTTATTCCTGTAAATAACAAATATTTTGCAGTTCTGAAGAACAAAGACATCATTTTGTTTAATTTTGTACTCTTAGCAATTATCACAGGGTTTCCGTTGTTAATCAATTACTGTTTACGGAACACCTGCTGTGTGCTGGACACTGTTCTTCACGGAGGGGACTCAGAAGGCACCAAGGTTTTGCTTTCCTGCTGTCCAGGTTATAGCAGGAATGGAGAATCAATATGAAAAAAAAACAAAACACTAATATGTTCCCAGAGCAGTACTTGTTATAGACCTTAAAACACCTTGATGGATGTTCAAAGAGACTATGGGGATAACTTGAACTGGCTGGTCAATGGAGGCCTTTTTGATCATGTGACCTCTGAGCAGAGACCTGATGGAGAAGAAGGAGCCAGGCTTGTCAAGATCTGGGGAAGGGGGGTGGGTGGGTGAGTTGTATTTCAGGTTGGGCAGTGTATTTCCCACAGCACTGCGCTTGGTCAATACGAGGACTTGGGATGAAGGTGACCAGGAGAAGACAGTGGTTGATGAGAGCCACGTCAGGCTGCCAAAGCCAGGTATTGTCCCCAGGGCACTGGGAAACCCTGGGAGGGTCTGAGCACAGGCATGACATGGAAGGATTCATGTTATCAAAAATTCATTCCTGCTGCTATGCAGAGGAGTCCCAGGGAACAGTGGTCACCCTGAGATCAATGAGTGAACTATGGCCTTTGGATAGATAAGAAATTATAGCACCTTGAGCCAGAGAAAAAAGTTATCTTAGAGGAAGGGGGTGGATTGGAAATATTTTAGGCACAAAAGCAAAAGTCCTTGCTGATTGCTTGGGCATGGTGGGGGAGGGAGGACAAACACTGAGACAAGGGTTGTTGACTGTGAGCTTTAACTGAGTGTGGGGGTGGAGGGTGCATTTACTCCATGAAGACTGGTCAGAGAAACAGCTTTTCTGGGGCGGTGACTCCATGCTGATTCAGGCAGCTCACGTTTGAGATGTCTAGAAGCATTCAAGCAGAGATCTCAAATATGCAACTCGAATCTCTGTATATTTGGAGCTCAGTGGATGGATTTAAGAGTCAATGACATATAAATGATATTAAAAGTGGTGGCATTTGAAACTGGATGAGATCACTTAAGCAGAGATGGCAGAGTCAGAAGAGCCAAGACCCAAGAACTAAGTCGTGTGAATTTCCAAAGTGAAGGGGTTTGAGCATGAAGGTACCAGCAGGGAAGGCCGAGGGAGAAGAGCCATGTGTGTGAACAACTTCACAGCAGCTGGGGGTGTTGAGTTTCGGGGGCGGAGTCACCAAATGGGTGGAAGCATGGTCTGGAGTCTGGTAAGAGAGCTGAACACAGTGAAGGCAGAGTGGTGACTGATGGATTGGAAATAAAGCAAGCATTGGTGACCTTGACAGAGGAGTCTAATCAGATGGGTCCCAAAAGAAGGCAGTATAAGGAAAGGAGAAAGAAGAAAAGTTGTAAATGAGACTCTCTAGATAACATTTCTAAGACATTTTCTTTGTAAATGACTGGGCACCAGCTAGAGATGTCAATGTCACATTTATTTATTTTTATCTACATATATAGACATATAGACACAGGCAAGCACCATCATACACACACACTTTTTTTTTTTTTAAGAAAATTACTTGTATAAAGCACAAGTGTGTGTGGGTGCTCAGTCACGTTCAACTCTGCAACTCCATGGACTATATAGCCAGGATCCTCTGCCCCTGGATTTCTCAGACAGGAATACTAGAGTGAGTCGCCATTTCCTTCTCTAGATCTTCCTGGCCCAGGGATTGAACCCATGTCTTCTGCATCTCCTGCATTGCAGGCATATCTTCCACCATTCCAGCTATCAGGGAAGCCCAGTTATGCCATTAGTGGTGCCCTTGTCAGTTTCTCCTGGGTCATCACAAGTCCCCCCCACTCCCACCCCCCTCCACTGCCCAGAGGGCAGGGCTGCTCTCCATGTATGCATGCTTATTAGAAAGAATGTATATCACTGGCCAGTGTAAAAATATTTGCTGTTATAAACAAGCTTAATCAGGAGTAGGCCCTTTAAAATGGTTTCATTTTTTGTCAGCAGTTAGGAACTTGCTACCATGGAGGACTTGATAACCTGTGGGTGATTTCCATAGCACTGAAAACCTGCCCTGGGATCTCTACATCCTTGTAACAGTTCTATTTACATGGATGCACTTTGAATAAAGCTGTGTCCCCTACCTGATGTGAATGAACAAGAAAGTCCTCCCAGGCACTGTTTCTGTCTGTCCAAGGGGTGGAGGAGGCATGCACCATACCTGGAGCCCCAGCCACAGGCTATCTACCAAGGCTACTAAGTAGGTTGCATTATTTCCATTTTGAAATGAAGTAGACTCAAAACAGTCTAGTATCTTACCCACGTAGTCTAGTATCTTATCCACATAGCAGAAAGTAGCATTCTTTCTGGAGCAAGTCAGACTGAACTTCCTGTTTTAAAAAGAAAGATAAAAAATAAAAAGCTCAGTGCTCAACCTACACTGTCTAAAATGAAATCTCCCTCCCAGGCAGTTCCAATTAATTTCCTGAGTTTTTCTGACCTCTCTTGTGACACCCATTCCATAGCCCTCCACCCCCACCCCCACCACACTGAAACAAAAACCACATTAAGCTAACCAATGGATGTTTGCACTTCAATTAATCTGAGGTGAGTAGAATTCTGAAGTTATTTAATACATTCACCTTTTTTCTGTAGTTGGAGACAGCTGAGCTCAACTATCACAGAGGGAAATGCACATGAAGCTGTTAGCCAAGATCTGAGCAATGGAGACCCAATTGAAATAAAAGGTGTTTATTTGTTAGGACTGAAGCCCAGGAGACACAGATTGATGAAGCACTTGAATTGTGTTCCCCTGACTTCAAAATGGGGGAGGCTTATAAAGGAAAAATAAAAAAAATTGCAAGGTTACTGTTGGTTTCATGAGTTTTTTCTCAAGAGTTATAATTGGGGCTGGCGGGGAGTAGGCTGTCTGTCAAACAAGGATGGTTGGGGTCTGAAAGGCTTCACAGCCAGAGGTCACCTTGAGACCATAAGGCTGCAGCTGTCAGTTGCTGTTCTGAGTACATCTGGTGGTTTCCTTACACCTGGCGCAGCTCAGAGAAAGTTCAAGTCCTTGGTGGAGGTAGGACCAAGTCTGAGCCCAGATCCTCCATGACCACCTGACTCCATGTTTGTATGTCTGATCCGATTGTTCCATCAAAGTTTCAGTTTGTAATGGAAGTCCTCTAGACTTATCTGGTGATGACTCAGCAGCCTAGAACACCTTGGCTAAGTAAAGGTATGTCTTGAGGGAGGGGTCTTAAATGAAAAGGGGCAAAACAATGTACACTCAGCAACCTTTCATTAGAAAACCCACAGAAGTAAATAAATAGGATCATTGTTCCAATTCAGAAATACTTGGTAATGGTTAAGTATTAATATTTAGTTGCACTTGAACACAATAAAGAAAATCAGCTTGAAATCATACTGGGCATGTTGAAACCATGAAGTGAGAAGGATTCAGATGTGAGTATTGAATTCATGTAACCCTGTCTTTCTAACAGGAGACACAAAGTGAAGCAAACAAGAAAAATATATTAACCAAAAACAGAAACCCTAAATTTACCTATCCATTCTTGAAACTGAGGTGTAGAAATAGCGACCAAGGGATATCCACAGATGATAACATAACCTATTTTTACAGAAACATATTAGGATATATGAAGTTTTACACACATTATTTGCATATGGTAATTCAGTGAGGTTAGCAGACATTTTATGGAGTCAAAATGGCTCAACTCAGCCAGTGTCTGAGTTTCATATACAATGACTATTACTTTATATCATAGCATATAGAGGTTTTGATATGCATCTCAAACTTCCTCTTCCAAAGAACTGTTTCCAAAATGTTTCACAAACTAATACAGTGTTCTAAGATTCCTACACTGTGAAGGGTGGGCTGAGTAGGTGGCCATTGTATTCTAGTTTTGTAAACAGTGAAACTGAAGGACCTAGTTTCAGTTTCACAGTAACATATTAGGGTACAAAATTTTCTTGTGAAAATTATGCTTCACAGATTGTATTGCTTTGATGATTTACACTCACATTTTACTATGCTTATATTATAAAAATAATAACAAAATTTAACATTTAAAATGAACCTTAAGGAACTTTTCTTTAAATAGTTCATGTTCATCTGAGTTTATCTGTTCTCTGATTTGTGTACTTTATTTATATTCATTTGGAGCATCAGATGTTAGACTGCATTTAATTCTCATCATGCTAATATCCATAACTGGTTACACAACTTGATGAAGAAAATTTGGAGTAAATATTCCTTCTCCTTCCAAAAAAAAAAAAAAAAAAGACATCAAACTAACCTGATCTTACTGGGACTGACAGTTCAAATTAATCAAGTTTCTTTTTTCTCTTCCTGGCAGAGACAGACTGAGGGAAAAAGACTGAGAGACTTTAAGTCCCCGTCAACCAACCCCACAAAGGGAATCTCTCTCTCCAGGTCTGAATAATCAACGGCATATGATTTAATTAGTCACATCTTTATGCCCTGCGTCTCATTTAAATACGGTTCTTTTATCGTATGTGTTAAATTTCTGCAATGATCCTTGTTTCTACTTGTTGGGAGAAGATAACAGACGCCATCAATCGCATCAAGCGGGTTAAATTCTGGGGAGAAAAGCGGCCTCACCCACCTGGGGAGCACAGTCCGAGCTCCCCAAACCTGGAAGCGGTGTGTTTGTCCTCTCACAAAACACGCACTTTGTGAAGCTTGTCAGTGGGGATGACACGAAGTGTCTCTGCAGACACTAGAGACACGTGTGTGTCTACATCTGTCCAAGGAAAAGAGAAACTTCATTTGCCAAGATCCCCAGCAATCCGTCTACTTCCACAGGGACCCTAAAGCAAAACACACGCTTCCACATTCGCCCCAAGTAACAACGTTCTGAGTAGCTTTGCGGGTCTAGTGGAGGCCAGCCGGCTTCACCTGACGCGGTGTGAGGGCTCCCCCCGCACCTGCCACCGGCGCCCCAGTCACCAGCTCCCCTGGTCAAAGGCCTGATAGAGGGCGGGCGACGCGCCCCTTCCCACCAAACGAGCAGGTTCCCCAGCGCAGCTCAGCGGGTGCTGGAGGCCTGTAGTGAGTCGGACCCTGGCCCGCCCCAGCGCCCCTGTCAACCTCCAGCCCCACCGCCCCACGCCCCCCCCCCCCCGCGGGAATCCCGCTGGAGCCCAGGCGGCGGAGAGGTGGCTCAAAGTCTAAGGAAACCGTGGACTTCCCGGGATGAATAACGAGCCTGTCTGATTTCCATCCCAGGTGATCCCCGGTCCAGTCTCCTTTAGCCTTGAGGGAACCAACCGGGGCGCGCTGCCTGCCGCCTCCCACGCGGTCCCCCACCCCCAGGTCCTGGGGGAGCCCTCTGGACGAGCGGCGCCAGTCCCTTGGCTCGGATACACCAGCCGGCGTGGAGGACCGCGGTGAGCCCACGACTCCCTCTGTTGTCCGCATCAGGGCACGAGGACTCTGAACGCCCGGCCGCTAGGAGGGCCTGGGACCCGCGTCGGGAAATTAGCGTTTATCTCCAGCGCCCTCACCCCACACCCGGTCCTTCCCTCTTGAGTTCCCTCCCAGGTCTCCAACAATCTCCGGGCGCGGAAAATGACACTCGTAATCTCAGTGCCTGGAGAGGTGCGCCGTGGTACGACCCCCACCCCCAGCTACATTTTCCCTTTTCTATGGGTCCTTGGTTGTAATTTTGATCAGCTCTAGCAGTTCCAACGTAGTAAATTTTGGTCCCCCGCCTCACCCCACGCGCGTCAGCACCAGGTGCCGAATGTGGGCGGCGGAGCCCTCGGTGGCCGTCCCGGGGACCCCCGCGCCGCCCCTCTTGGTGCAGGGGTCGGCGGCTGTGAGAGCCGGTGCCGCGGGCAGAGGTGGGGTCTGCGCGCCGCGGGGACGAGGGGCCGGAGAGGCCTGGGGGCAGCAAGCAGAAGCAGGCTAAAGAGCGGAACCGAGCCGGGGCCGGCGGGCTGCGCTGCGTTCAGGCATTAGAAGGGCGGGGACGGCCGATCTTTCCCGCTGACTTTATCGTCCCCGGTTCGGTCCTTGAGAGACCGCCTCCCCCGCTGCCCTGCAGGGCCCGGGGCTGCGGACGCGCGCCAACCCGGCCTCGGGGAAGGAGCCTGCGCTCGGCGCGCACCGCTGCCTCCCCGGCTCGGAGCCCGCGCTCACGCGTCCGCGTCCCGCCCGACCCCCTCTCAGAGGCTCGGCAAGGATTTCCAGCCAGTTCAGCAACGCTTTACAAGGTAGCGGGGCCTTTTCTTTCTTTCTTTTTCTTTTTTTATTTTCTGTTTTCATTGAAGAGTAACCTGTCGTTTCTGCTCGGAGGGTCTCGGTGCTGTGTCTAACCTGGGAATTTCACAAGGCGCTTCTCAGAATCCAAATGCGCCCCCCTCCCCCCCAATTGGTGATGGAGATTGCGGAGTCTTCCGAAATAGCCCTTTCCATCTTATGTAATTAGGGACCCACAGAAGCGCTGGATTTTCCACGGTACATAATCTATATTTATTCTCTCTTCCCCCTCCCTCTCTCGTGCGCGCGTGTGCGCGCGCGTGTGCGTGCGCTCCCGTTCATTTCTAGCATCAGGAAACTCGTTCGCGGCCACTGAAAAGTCAGGAGCGGCTCACAACTGATTTCCCACGGATTTCTGCCTCCATCGGCAGATGCTGTCCGGAAGCGGTGCCCCCAGACAAGCATGAGACCGTTATCTTGGAAAGCCGGTTAGCCCTGACGCGTAAGAAGCGCCGGGGGAGGCGAGCCTGGAAGAACAGCTAACCGATCGCGTTCGCCGGTGGGGAAAAGTGCCGCGCGGGGCCGGGCCTGGGGTTCGGGCCCGCACTTCAGCACCGGCGGGGATGGACAGCGTCTTTGGACCTGGCCACCGCCGGGACCCCACTGCGCCGCCACGGTCCTCGCTGCCGCCGTCGTCGCCGAGGGCAGCCCGGCTCCCAGCTAGGCGCAGCTAAGGGGGCTTCGTCTCCGATGCCCCGGCACCCCCCTGGCCGGCCGTGATAGACCGAAAGGGATCTTCCTGCCTGCTGCGACTCCCGCTCAGGGCTCAGAGAAGCTCACCTGATCCACAGATTAAACTCGGCAGCAACTTCCAGGATAATTGTCGACAGGGGCCGGAGGAGCACCGGCAGCCCAGAGAGGCCGAAGTTGTCCGGCCTCTGAGAACCATGGGTTCTGCAGACGGGGTCCGAGCGCTCAGAGGAGGCCCGCGCTGCTCCAAATAAACAGGATGCTCCCGAGCGGACTGCACCTGTTTTGGAAATAGCTTTGCGAGAGGAGCTTCTAGACCTACTCACAACCTGGCATTAGAGGAACTGGAAGATTCTAATTCCTTTACTCGGCCGGTAAGTGATAATACTATTATTACTGTTTGTTTGTAACTCAAGTGACCCCCCTCCCCCCGCAAGATTTTAACCGAAAGATTAAAATAGTATTATTTTTTCCTTGTGGATTAAGATGATAAACAGTTTGATTTTTAAATGGTTGTTCCTGCATAATGATCTTTGAGAAAATCTTGCCTAGTGAAGTAGTTGGATGTTTTACTTATCTGAAGTCCTTTATGTGACAAGAATATTAAAAATTATATGTGTGTGTGTGTGTGTGTGTGTGTGTAAGCCTATATAAATATAGTAAAATTTTAGTTGGATATTTTTATTGATGATCTAGTATCTTTTTGAGTCTGTGTCCCATGTTTTCCCCCAAAAGAATACAATGTGGCATTTTGTAAGTTTTTTTTTTCTCTTTGTGTTATACATGTAGTTTAAAGTGATCCTGTTTGTATTACATAGTATGCAAGACTCAGAAAGTTACTAGTAGTGATGGTTTCACCATCTGGCCTATTATATTTTATATGAATATAATGTGCCAAGCTGTACACCTGGTCCCTGTCTCACCCCAATCCTGAGTGTATCCACACTTGTGGATCTTAACCTACAGAAATACACACATTTTTATGCAGTGTTGTCTTTCTAGCCTTCTGAAGACTGCTTGCTCAAACCAGATCTGCCAGAAGGCAGAAAATGAGAAGCTGTAGCGTGCCTTTTTAGGAGAACAGGTTTCCAAAGCATTCTTAGTCCCATGAAAATGCATTTGTCACTGAAATCCACAAAGTGGTGGGGGGGGGGCAAGAGTTTTTGGATGGACCATAGCTTTAAAGTGTTTATGAAATCTATTTTCTGTTGAGTCGTACTTTTGTAGCTTTAGAACTGCAATCATTCACAGTGACCTTGATGAGCATTCTGCTTTAAGAAAAGGGCTTCGCAGGGTAAAGACACAGATTTATAGCCCACGCCTGACATTTTGCTAAGGGTTCGGTGGGTTCCACCAAGCATATCCAGTTAGTGGGGTGCAGGGCTTGGCAGGACTGACTCTGACAACCCTGTGAACACATGTGATGCTGTGAGCACGACCAGCCATGTGGGGAGAGTTGGCCCTTTTGAAAAAGCACAGTTCTTCAGGTTCTCCTTTTAATTTCATAGGGCATCTATAATCGATCATAAAATACATCTCCGTACTGCCCTGTTTTTCAATTTCATCACTCAAATCCTTGGAGGCAGTTAAGATGGCACTGGCCAGTGTGCTGAAAGGCCCTTGTTTTGCGTTGACTGAGAGCAGAAACTGCACTCTAGGGACAAATTGTTCTTAACTGTCACTTACCACTTACCACAAACCTGCTTGCTTAGCAGAAAGGGAGAGCGGTGTCGGCGTCATGGAGCTCCTTGGGGGCTCTATTGCCCTATATGGGTCAGAAACGGCAATCTCAGGAGGAAAAATGCACTATTGATTTGGAATCCTTGCCAGGAGACCTGCGGTGTGCCCCGGACAAACCTGCTTTTGTGTGTTTGTTTTTTTCCCCTTATCTGGAAGATGTGAACGTGAAATTGCCACATATACTAATTAATCATGTTTTAAGAGAGTTGCAGCCTGTTGCTAGACTCTGAGTGTGGTTGTCAGTTAATAGCACAGGCAGGCTGCCTGGTCAGCAGAGCTTAAGATGGAAGCAGACCTGTGGGCACGTGGCCGCATTACCTTCTCAGTGGCAGAGGGGGCAGGCTTTCTCCACGCGCGACAGAAACAGCACAAAGTAGAAGTTACCCTGGGCTCATCCCTTTAGAGATTTAATCACAGAGATAAATAACTGATTCACCGTTCCAAGCCCAGGCAAACTGCCTGGAAGCTCTCCTTATCTTTGGGGAAATGTCTTTGCGTTGAGATAGCATTTTGTAAAACAACTTAGTGCCTATATAAATTATAATCTCTAACTGCCCCCAGTCTCCTGGACTCCACAAAAGGAGTGGGTGGGCTAATGCAACCATACTACTTTTCGCACAGAATCCCTTGTCTCTAAAGAGAAATCAATACTTAATTCTAGGACATCCATGTCCTATTAAAATAACTCTTTTTTCTGATTTTTTTTTTTTTTTGGTCTGTTACCAAAAAAGGATGCATGAAGTTTGAGAAGTATCAGACACAGTATCCAACATCCCCTCTCAGAGGAAGGAGTTCTGTTGGTGGGGGGTCAGTGTTTTTGTGTTGCTTCTACTTGAGACTCAGAGGAGAAAAGTGAAGTAGGATTGCATAAAGAGGAAAATGGAAAGTGTATATAGGACTGCAGGATAATTTGAAATGAGTTCTGGAACATCGTCAGTTACTTTTCTTCTTTTAACAAGAAATGATCTGCATGAGAGTGGGACAGAGAGTTCTGGCTTGAACCTTTATATTATACAAATATTACAGAAACATTTATCAGTCAGTATTATTATTTAGACCATCTAATTATTAATTGGATAATCTAGTGTGATTACTGACCATTAGATCCTATTGGATTGGAAGGTCCAGTTTGCCTTTGGAATTGCTTGCTTGGGTTTGAACCAAGTTATATACATGTTTACAAAAAATGTAAAAGAAGAGATGATTATTTTGGAATTTAAGAAGTCCCTCAATAATTGATTATTGTTTTCATACCAATTAGAAGATTCTAGGCAAGGATCCTGGTTATTCATCCAATTCTATTAAGAAGGCAAAAGAAGAAAAGCGTATCCTAAGCCAGAAATTATGTCTATAGTTATCTCACCTCCAGTGAGTCATAGACTGGCACACAAATGGAGAGACCTCTCATTTTGTATTTTCTTCCTGTTTAGCTTGGCAGAATGAGTTGTGCATGGCACGCATGGAAAGAGACAGCATCCTGCAGCATGAAATATGTTATGCATCGTCATGTAGCAGAACAAGACTTGTTTGACAGTCAGGACATGGGGATTCTTGAAATGCTGGTCATAAGGTCTTGGGCAAGCCACTCAACCCATTACTCAACTTTTTCTACCTAATACGGGGTGCTTTATCTACCAATTAAGATGCAGTCCTCTACATATGGTTGACATCTAAGTATTTGTGGAATAAATGAAGAGATGCATATGCTAGAATATTGGAAAGTCTCAATATGATGCTCTTGAGAGTATTTTGGAAACTTAAGTGCTATATCTTTGAATTATTATGTCATATCTTATAGCAATCATTCCTTCACTCTTCAAAAAAGTCCCTTCTGATTACTATATGGCAACATGCTTCTTGCATTTTAAGAGCTTAAATGTAGGAAATATAATCTTTCCCCGGGAATTCAGCATCAATTTTCTTATATCCCTCAATGGAAAAAATATTTTAATGAAGGGAAGACTTCATTTAAAAATAGTATTCAAAATTGACATCATGCATTAAACCAAATAGGCAAGACTAGGTCTACGTGGCACCCAAGTTCATTTTAATTACCCTTGACCCTTGAGGAATGCAGAGGTAAGGAGTTCTAACTTCTCGTGTAGTCAAAAATTCATATGTAACTTTTGACTCCTCCCAATAGCTTTCCCAGGTGACTCAGTGATAAAGAATCCACCTGCCGGTGCAGGAGACCTGGGTTTTATCCCTGGGTCGGGAAGATTCCCTGGAGGAGGAAATGGCAACCCATTACCGAATTCTCACCTGGGAAATCCCATGTACAGAGGACCCTGGCAGTCCATAGGGTCACGAAAGTGTCAGACATGACTGAGCACAACATGCATGCAAACTGACTGCTAATTGCCTACTCTTGGCCAGAATCCTTACAATAATATAAGTGATCCATTGACTCTGCATATTGTATATTTTATGCATTTATGATGTGCCTAAGGTTTTCTTATTTTTTTTAGATTTTTTTTTGGTTATGCATTTCTTCAGATCATCACCTATCTCAAAAAATTTAAATATACTTATTAAAAAAAATCTGGGTACAAGTGGACCCATGCAGTTCAAACCCATGTTTTTCAAGGGTCAACTGTACTTTCATTTTGACCTGAAATGAATCAACCACTGCATTTTTTGTCATAATTTTCTGGTCTGTAAAGGAGAAGTAATGTTTACCATTAGTTATACCAATAAGGAAGCTCATAGGATTAAGTGGTCTTTAAAAACTCAACATCTGATAATACATCCAGAAAGCAATTTGTCTTGCTTCACTGACTAGTAAAGTTGGAGTGGAGGGTAGACAGCGTGGGACTTGTCCATGGGCAACCCTGGAAATGCTGTGGTCTTGGTTTAATCTAGATTCTATTCATAGGTGTCTCAGGAAATCTCCAGTTAAGTAACATTTCATGATTTATTTTCTTTCATCAGTTGGAGTTTTAAAAGTGGCTATAATTTTTAAAAAATGTAATCGATAAGCATTTGGTCTGTATAGATTTCTAGTGAAGTAAAGTCACTCAGTTGTGTCCGACCCTTTGGGACCCCGTGGGCTGTAGCCTACCAGGCTCCTCCATCCATGGGATTTTCCAGGCAAGATTACTGGAGTGGGTTGCCATTTCCTTCTCCAGAGTATCACTAAAAATACATCAAGAGTAAGTTTGAGAAATCTAAACTACCATTGGTGTCATAGTCAGTTTCCATATAGTCTGCTGGTTGAACTATTTGACTGAATTGGAAATGGAAAATTATATAACTGTCTAGTCAGTGATACAATGATGTTAAGTTTTTGGTTTGATTTGGTATCATTTACCAAAAAAGAAAAAGTAAATAAACAGTAGCGGGAAAAAAAGCGGAAAAAAGCAATGGGTGAAAAGTCATTAGAATAATGTCATTTGACCCAGAACCAGATTTTGGGTGAAATCTCCTGGTTTTTACCTGATTTAATTGGAATAAAATGGACTGCGAGTTGGGCTCGGCACAGAGCCGCAGACCATGACTACTCTGATTTCAGTAC